ACGATTCTAAATATTAGCTGTCTGGTTTTAATTAATAGCTAAAATCATGATTAAATACTCAATCAAGTCTCAAACATCTCTTCCATCGATTTACAAACGTACAGTTTTCATATCATTTCCAATTCTACATGCGTTAGTTGTTTTTGAACCTTTTTTGTTCAATTGAAAATTTGCATATTTTTGAGGCCGTTTTTCTCGGATTTCTCAAAATTTTAGCGGTTTTTTGAAAAACAAACTATATCACGTTTGTTTACTTGGTAATGCCTTCCAGCAAACCAAAAATGGGCAAAATCGAAACTTTGAGCGTGACCGGCTGATGCTCGATATTAGTGGATCTTCGCTCTTAAGGTGTGTATGTTCCGGAAAAGGTATTTATTTTTACACACCTTAAATTAAGGTGAGAATTTACAAGATAAAGGTGTGTAAAAAAACACGCCTTAAGGTGCGTTTTTTTCGTTTTTTGCTTGTCACCAAATTCACACACCTTAAGGCGTATTTTTCAAAAAGGTGTGTATTTTTACACACCATATGGTGTATATTTTGCGCTGAATCTCTGGCGAACAAATTACACACCTTAAGCCGTGCTTTTTTACACACCTTGCAAGGTGTGCAAAATAACACACCTTTTTGCTTGCTGCACAGCTTGCAAATACACACCTTGGAAGGTGTGCAAAATTACACACTTTTGTTCAGCTTGGTCTCAGATCACAGATCTAATTGGAATAAAAATATATAAAAGAAGCAGCATATCTGAGTGTACAATTCACAAATGTAATAATAGCTAAAATTATTAAATATTTACAATATATAAGCTAGGACTACAATCATGCAAACATCTATACAAATTAAGATAACAATTTTTAACCTCTGCCCACAAAACAACTCTGATTGACATGGTCCACATAAGTCATAACTAAAAATTCCATCACAAAGAGTGGATAGAAGACTCGAAAACATAATGGCATGCAATAATATACACTGAGTATCTGATAGTTCATTATTGGTGGACATGATCTTTCATTCCTCACAACATCAACTGGAATTTTATGGTCTGGAACCAAAACGTTTTTCTCATTTGTGTTGATGGCTAATAAATATTAAACAAAATTTGAAACATGAAACGAATATTGTTATCAGGATTTGGAGCATCTCACTCAATTGAACTAAGTGTTGAAGGTTTTTTATAGATAAAATTTCGAGAATCAGGCAAGCCATGCGAGCTAAAGATTCTAGTTGTCGAGACCTAGCTGCAAGGTCATGGGCCAAAGGGCCTATAGTTGAACTTTCCTGCCAGAGGGCCTATAGTTGAACTTTTTGCAACTGATCCTGGATAAACATAATCAAATTTTCCATCTACGAATGTACAGCTTAAAGCGCTGCAATGAAATCGCATTCACAGGGCCACATGTCTGATTTCTACCAGAGGGCAAACAGTTGTATTTTTTTGCAACTGATCTTGGTTTACGTTAGGTCTAATAAATGTATAAAATGTACACTCAAAATTTCCATCTACAAAAACCTTCAATAATCCATTAATTTAATAGCCTGTTAAGTAAGCAAGTGAGTAATTGGGGTGTACTAGGAATGGAATTAGGATCCAATCATCCTTGCTTGCATACATGTACTAGCTGCTAATCATGCTTACTTGCAGCTGTGAGCTGAGCCGAATTGTGAAGGACGTAGCTCGACCTGATCGAGTCCAAGGCTCACTAAGGACACTCTGGCAGCCACCTTATGACTCATGTCTGATCACGGTGCACAGCTATGGTGGAAGGGTTAGTTATGGGGGCAAGTTTAAGTTGATTTACCCGAACTTGCTTGCCTACAGATACTTCATTGATTAACTCTAACTTTGCCTCAATATTTTTTAGGTTCTTTTCAGTTATAAATAAGTCAAGTTTAACTTCTTCCAAATCTGCAGCATAAACTCTGCAATTTCAATTAAAATTATAAATACCAGCTTTGATATTCTCCGTTTGTGAAGCTTTATTCAGAAACACAGTACTTAATTGGGATGTTATATTGGATATTTTACTTTCATCTAAAGCACAATCAATCCCATTATACACAGTTGATTGAGATTGTGTATTAGCTTCGTGAACTTTCAATGTAGGGCTTAATAAGTATTGATTGTTTTGAAAGCAAAATAAAATGCAATTATCTTGAACAAGATCTCCATCATTTTCATATAAAGTTACCGTGTTCTGTTTTCCTCTATACCATGTAAGAACCAGGTCAGCATTTGAGCTACAAAATATCTTTGATTGGCATCCCGGCGAAGACCACTTTCCTTCGAGATTCCAGTTATCGCTTACAATTTGCTTTAATTTCAGCAAATCGTTATACTATTTAAGACGGCGACCATCATATGACATTCCTGATAAACTAGTATGTTTTGAACTGTTAAGAAAGGTAGCCAAAGGCCGATTTCGATTGATATAACTTTCATTCAACACGAGTGCATTTCTGTCAGCAATGCCGTCGTTCATATACGTCGTTCATATAAACACGGTGGTATAGTACTAAATACCATAAACACGATCTATATATTAAGAATTACCTAACCAATTCAATTACTTTCAATCTATATGAATGAATAAAGTTTGTGAATACTGCATCGATAGAGTCTAGAAACAAGTAGATTTTTAGTGCTCTTTGTAATGAAATTAAACGGTTTGATTATAAAAAAAACATATACTATATAGTTAGTTTATGCATGTGTCAGTTAAAAAATAAAGTTTTGACAATACCAATAATTACAATAACCACCACGGTGATTTCTTTTTAACAATGAGTTTAAGGATTAACGCTGAAAATGCAAAATATGCGTGGTGTGCTGTGAAGGTTCATAAGTCTTATTGATCTATACTGTGTAAGCCCTTTCAATACATGTAATTGTAAATTTGTATTCTTACAGGGCTTGAAATAACGTTCCCAAAGTTCCCGATCATGGTGATCGGCAGTCATGACTTCCCTTGCTTTTTCAGGTTGGAAACAGAAACCCTGCTTTTCCGCCGATCATAAGCAATTTCTTGCCGATCATTGATCGGTGATCGGTTGTTATTTCAAGCTCTGCCTTAAGACTTTTGAATTGATATGATTTCAAATGACTATACACCCATGTAATAATTAATATTATTCTATGCAACTGTTAGGAAGAGCAAACATTTTAATGGAGTACGAAAATCCTAAAGGAAAGGTGAAATTTCTGAAGGGGGCGAATTTCCTAAAGGGGGGTGAAATCCCTAGGAATTAGCCCCCCCCGGGGGCGAAATTGTAGGGGGGGGCGAAATTCCTGATACACCGGCTATTCGAGGCATATATTGGGAGGGTTCTGTACAGTGAAAGTTAAATTTTGTTCTGTATTTTTTCTGTACTAAAAGCAACTAATAATTGGTGTGTCAATATCGATAGAGGTCTTTTAAACGGGGTAGTTTTCATTGACTTGAACAAGGCCTTTGACACTGTCGAAACCATAATTGTAAAGCAAAGTAAAATCAGGCTTTATTCAACTTAAAACATTGCTATAAACTCTGAAGTACAAATCTTACAAAATTGTGGTCAAACACCGCCTTATATAACCATAACTATTGCGGGTTCATAAATAATTGCCAGCTACTTCATATAACTAATATCGTTATTATCTCATTCTTCCTCTCTAAAAGTTCTAAAACAATAGAAAGTTCCAAAATAATTTACATTAATAATAATTTCATATATAAGTACTATAACTAACAATAAGGTTCAAATTTTATAGTTCAATTCATAGAGTTACTAGTTCACAACATTACCAACCGTAACGAGCTGGTGGTTTGCTTACTCGAGTAGAACGCCTTAGACCAGTTTCGTTTGTTAACACTCAGGCATGTTAATGCCTGGGTCTGCCCACGCTTGGATGATATCTTGCGCGCGTGTTGCACGCGCGATCTGTCAGTAATGCGTCTGTTAGAATATTCGCCCTTTGTGTGAGTATTTTAGTGAATTCGGGCGTTTGCTTCAAATCAAAATATAGTATATATGAGTGACAGGATTATTTTGGAATATACAATGCAAAGAAGTCGGTATACTATTCAGTTTTGATGTAATAATTGACTCTTTGTATAGCTATAAGTATTGTATCATTTGCGACAGCTGACCTTTGAACTGCTGATAAATAAAAGCTTCTGATAGTGCGCTATCTTGTGATTATTCAGTATTAATTGTTGACTGTTTCTTAAATTTTAAAAATAGCTTGTGAATTACAAATTAATAGCACATATAGTACACTCGGTCTTTTCCACCATGGCATACTTCCCTTCAAGCATTAACTATGCTTCAAGATATCGGCTTGAATGCGCAATGAATGTTGTTATTGGAAATATAATATCCCTTACAATAAGCGGCAGACTGTTTCATTATGGTGCGTGAAATTCATCACGCGAAAAACGCGTTCGACTTGCAGCAGGGTAATTTGACGAAATTTTGCTATGTTTGTTAGCTAAAAACATTAACAAGGGAACAAAGTTTCCTGCGTTAATTTGGAAACCGTACATTTATTTGTAGATAACATTTAATGACGCGATTAACATTCGTTTGATGCCGATCATCGTAATATAGCCGCATAAAATAATGAAACGAAGCCTAAATGTAAACTTTCCGAATTTATTCAATAAACAGTGATATTATGTGTGAATGATTATCGCAATTCTGCGTCCTCCCAGTCACGAAATATACTGCTGCAGAGCCTCTGAATAAAAAGTATCATTTTTTGTGTGGTTTTTCGAAATATACATCACGTGATCGTTGCCATGACAACGAAAAGTAGGTCAACTTTTAGAATCTCCTTTGATAAATCATATATAACTTGAATGGTAATAATCAAGGCCATACTTATTTTTTTATGATTTTTTGTTTATTTTCGCTAAATACACAAACTGAGACCCAGGCATTAATGTACCTGAGCAACTCGTGTTCAACGTTATCCGCTTCTGAATGAATCTCAGGAACTTGCAAGGCCGTACAGTTTGGCGCTGGAGGAAATCCATCAGATGTAGGGAAGGGTTTTTGCGAAGGTTGGGGTTCGAAGGGGATTCCATTCTGGATGGAAGAAGGCGGGCAAGGAGCCAGATCAGTAAAGAAAAAGACGATTCTCTCCCATCAGCGTAACGTACACGTGAGTAGGTTGGGTTCACATCCGTTAACTCCACTTCATCCACAAGTGGATCGTTCTTACTCGTTCGAACAAATCGACGTAGCAATACCAGGTTGCATCCACGATGGCAGGGACACACCATATGATGAACGACGATGAAAGTTGAAAAGCTTTTCATGTGGAGTTGCATTAGTTGACGTACAGTGAAGTGATCTAATCGAGTGAAGTGCATCAGCGAGTACGAGTTCCCATCTTGAATCTGGTAGATTAGCTGACCTTAGAGCAAGACGAAACGAACCGCCTTCCAGATGATGCCATTGTATCGTTCAACTTGACCATTGCCAATTGGATGGTACGGCGTAGTTCTACTCGTTGCTATTCCTCGTTTCGTTAGATAGTGCTATAGTTCCCGAGAAAGGAAAGAGGTACCAAGATCTGAGTGAATATAATTTGGCATGCCACAAAGACTGAATAACTGATTCAGACACATGATGATGGTTGAGGATTGCATATTTGGACATGGAAAGGCAAATGGGAAACGGCAGTACTCATCCACAACAGTGAGTATATATGCATTACGAGTAGCAATAGGTAGTGGACCCTTGAAGTCGATACTAAGTCGCTCCATAGGCTGTGTGGCTTTGATTAGGTTTCCGGATTGCTGCCGACGATAAAACTGAGGCTTCAATTCGGCGCAACTTCGGCGTGCTGACCACACTTTCTGAACTTCTTCAGTGGAGTATGGAAGAAGGTTCTTGGACTTTACGAATCGTAACATTCGAGTTACACCGGGATAACACAACCCAATATGGATTTCTTCGAGGTTGTTTGATGACATCGAGGCAGAGACCCCAAAAGGCACGCGTTGGAAGTGATAGAGTCTTCCAATGGCTTCGAAGGCAGTATATTTCTGATCAGCTTCCTTTATTGGCACTTGATAGGCACTTTTAAGATCAAAAGTTGAGAAAAATTTGTAGCTAGCAAGATTGTTAATCATATAATCAATCCGTGGTAGAGGATTGGCGTCAAGGTCGGTATACTGGTTAAGGGTCTGCGAGTAGTCTATGCAGAACCGCTTCTCATGTCTATTCAACGGATCTTTAACAACAACAACCTGTGCTCTCCATGCATGGTGAATTGCTAGGTTCAATGATCCCTTCCGAAAGAAGCTGATTAACCTCCTGTTGTATAAAATCGTGGTCTTCCTTACTAAAGCGTCTCGGTTTACTTGCTATCGGTTTGCAATCTGGACTAAGATTCGCAAAAAGAGACGGCTCTTCAACTGATGCAGCAGAGAGAGCACAAACAGGGGTAGACTTTGGAATCATCAGCTCTGGTTTAGAACCACCATATTCGATAATAACACTCTTGTGCCCTTTTTGGAAATCCTGACCTAGGATTATATCGCTACAAAGATCTTTAAGTATTCCCAGACTACAGGATGGATGCATATGTTCATTCAGAGCAATATCTACATAGCAGTGACCAACAACATGTGACTTGAGGGAACTCAGGGCCATAGACACATATTGTTTTGATGGATGGAAATGAAGATCAAGGTGTTTGGCCACGCTCTCATTTATATAGCTGTCAGAACGTCCAGAATCAACAAGTGCAGTCAACGGTTTGTTTCCAATAGAGATATTACAGATGCTTGCTTCAAAGACTCTGGACAGGAAGCCACGATTGCACAAAGTGAAGGCGAAAATATTGAAGCAACCGTAGGGGCTTTTGACCTGCAAACGTTTGCATAATACCCCCTTTTGCCACAGCTATCACACACACACACACACACACACACGATTTCGGGCAGGGCAATTTCTTCTATTATGGATAGAATTACCAGAGAAATAGCATTTCTTTGATGTAAATGTTCCGGCAAGAGGGACATCGTCATTGGAGGCAGCAGCTTTCGAGGTCTGTTCTGTTACTGAAACAGCTGCCGCTGTAGCTGTGGGAATAGTGGGCATGGTATACATTTCCGCGTTCTTCTGTGCTAAATCAAAAGCATTAGCTTGGTCAAAAGCAGATTTCAAATCTAGTGTACTGTTCTCTAGAAGACGTTGACGAATTAATGGGGAAAGTAGACCATTAATAAATGAGTCTCAAATTAGTTCCTCCGGATACTGTTCAGCAGTAACACTTTTTAGATTACAATCCTTACTTAGTCTCCGAAGTTGCTGAATAAATTCTACGAGTGTTTCGCCTGGCTGTTGATGTATCAAGGACCGTCACTCCAAACTGGCACCATTATATTTGAATCGTCCGCATATTTAAAAAGAGCGTTCTCGCCGTCTATGTCCACCTCTAAATCATTTAGGAAAATATTAAAAAGGTAGGGTCCACTTACGCTCCCCTGTGTTGTACCCTTATTAACATCCATCCATCCATTCTCCACAAAAATCGTTACAAACGACTCTTTGCTTTCTATTCTTTAGAAAATTTAAATACCAATTTATGATATAAGGGTTGAGTGGCACATTTTTTAACTTTTCCAAGAGGAGTGAATGTTTCACGGAGTCGAAAGCCTTGCTAAAATCCATAGAAAACAGTCTAACTGCTTTGCAGTCCGCTCTATCTAAGAAGCTGAGTACTTTGTTCTGAATAGTCAACAGAGCGTTTGTACAACTTCCCCCCTGCCTGTACACAAATTGCGTTGGGGATAAAATTTCCTCAACTGTCGACTTGACCTGACTATTATAAACGAGCTTTTCGAAGGTCCTCGCAATTACAGGTGTAATATTTATTCCACGAAAATCACCATCTTCCTTTGGTAAATCAACCTTTACAAGAGGGTTAATATTCGCTCTTTTCCATGAATCTGGCCAAGTATGTGATGAAAGGGACAAATCCCAGACGTTAGTTACAACTTCGGTTAGAATTTCCGCATGATCATTCCAAACCCAATAGGGAATATAATCGGGACCTGTTGCTGTCCTCTTTATTCTTTTCAAGGCATTCCATACCTGCTGTTCCGTAAAGCTAGGAATATCTACTTCATCACCAATAATTGAGACGATACATTTCGCTGAGAAATATCATTCGTCTTTCTCCACCAAGTTCTACTTCCCACCAAGGCCCTAAAATTTCTTCTGTTTAGACAAATGACATCAGAAATCCTTTTGTTAATTAAACTGAGTCTATCCTTTTGCGACCGAGCAATTCTGGATTTAGCTTTTAGCAAAGATTTAATTAAAGGACAATGGCAATAAATTTTTTTATTCCTGATATTGGTAAAACTGGACCCCCTGATTACGAATATGCTATTAGTTTTCATCAAAAATGTTTTGTTCTCGAGTTATTTCACCGTAAATATTCAGTACGTCCGCCATCTTGGATCGATTTTCAAAAAATTGTCTTTTGGGTCACATGACCTGTGTGACGTCAAGAGCAGGGTAGAATCAAAACAACAAATATATTTTATTAGGCGCATATTGCGACTTCGTACTTCTAGTGAGAAATTTGGCGCTTTTTGATTACTCGGATGGAAAATATCCACGATATCAAGTAGATAAGGTATTACCTTATCAATTTGAACTAAAACTGGGCTTACAAACAAGCGATAGCGGTGACGAGAGCGACTCCGAAGAACAGAGTGAACGTCTGACGAGGAAATCACCATGTGTTTGAGGTCGAAAATGCTTGGCGCATTGCACATTGAAACCAAAGGATATTGAATTGTTTTGTTGCCACGATAAAGCGTTAGAATACGATGAATAAGATGCATGATTGAAGGAGGTTGAAACACAAGGGGAGAAGTGCTTGACTGCCTTTACAACACTGTCAACACATGCAGAATTCAAAGCGAACATGCTGTCGGAAGGGCTATTAAATAGATGTTTGTCGCTATCTTGAAGATATTAAACTGGCCTCTGGATGACAAAGATTTGGACAAGATACACAAAATTTATAGACTAGTAGCTTACCAGCGATGTTCGCGTTGGGTATTTAAGACTTGGGGGAATAAGAACAGAAGGCCACTTCCTGCATGTGTTTACACAATAATAGACAATTCCCATTATAGAGTAATTTTAAAACTAGGCAAGGAGATGCAAATAAATCAGCACAGCTAAAAAGAGCATACTAAAATGAGTAAAATTGCAAAGTTTAGTTGCGAAATGTTGTAAAATGCAGAACATATTGCCTTGCAAAGTTTGCAAATTTTGTATACTTTTGTATTGTGTGCGGAAATTGCTTCATTTTCGGCCCAAATGTGGTAGCAATTTTCGCACGCAATACAAAAGTATACAAAATTTGCTATGTTTTCTGCATTTTACAACATTTTGCAACCAAGCTTTGCAATGTTACT